ACAGACAGACAGACAGACAGACAGACAGACAGACAGACAGACAGACAGACAGACATACATACATACATATACTTCTAAGTAAGAAAAAAAGTTATTGACCTTACTTCCTACCGCAGTATGGCACACTTTGTTCTAATCTCAAGCACAGAAAGCCTTTTCAACAGGAAGCACTGGAATTTCAGTTTTCGTGTCTTGAGAGCGAAGTAGGATAATGCTTTCTTGCTGTTGTATTGTTCTCTCCCTACAGGATGAAGTGGAAGCCCTGAAGTACGTGAATGTCTGCGTGTCTCTGCTAATCGTCGCTTCCTATGCCCTGGGACCTAGTAAGTGAACTGAAAACCCACCTCAAATTTTATATTACCAGCAACTTATTACTTTTCTGTCAGCTTCCTTTTTGCCTTCTGGCTGTAGCTCGTGGGTATTTGTAGGGAATAAACAGGAAAGCCTTACTTTGTTATTTTTTCCCTCGTTTGTATCAATTTCGATTCTTACTTGCTTTAAAAAAACGTTGCTGTGTCGATTTGCTTTACTGAAAACAAAAAGCAAGAAAAACACGGTAGCGCATTTAGTAACTATTGCCTTGCAGTATGGTATACATTGACTTAATCTCAAGCATAGAAAGTCGTTTCTTAGTAATCTCTGAAATGTAACAGTCTTGGTGTCTTGAAAGCTAAATTGTACGTGTTAGTGTAAAACATTAATGAGACGAAATACGAGCTATTATGGGTACAATAAAATCGCAGAAATAAATTGATTACACGACTGCCTAACCCATATCTTAAATATTACGAAACTGTGATCCAAAATGAAATGTTTAACTCCAGGAACATGTTCCAGACATATTGACAGACCCCATATATTGGCACCTCCGCACCATAAGCCATCTTTAAGTTGTAAATCCCCCATAAGGCCTCATTCACCAGATATTCCAACCCTATTTGTACATGGGTTTTTTTTCGGACAAAACTGTGAAGTAAGCTAGATTGCTGAACAGCAAGAAACGATGTGACTTTGAATAATATTATGGTTTTGAATGAAACGGTTTAATCCTTTTACTGCCATACCGTTTCACCTCGAACCTTGCCTTTTGTACACGTTCAATTTCTCTGTCCATTTTCACGTCTGACGTGAACATGTACACGTTCAATTTTTCTGTCCATTTTCACGTCTGACGTGAACATATTTCCAAGGTATTTGAATCCTTGTACTAGTTTTAGTTGTGTGTTGTTGACTTGGATTTTTTAATTGGGTTTGGTTTCTGGCGATTTTTTTCTTGTATTGCATACTGGACTTGATGTATGAAGTTCTGGCTGCTCTGCTGGGTTAAGGCCTGTTAACACTGCAGGCCAGTCTAGAACATAGATTTGAAGTGTTTGAAAGGAGTTTTGACTGACCCTGTCCACATGGGGTCGGGCATCACGTTCGCACATTCCATCATCCTTGCCATGTAGGAAATGACATGGAGACGAAGAATTTCGTCACAATGTCACCGTCCTGTCAGGTTACTTTGAATAGTGACCAAATATGAACAAGGAAGAGCAGAAATTTAACCCAAACACAATCACACTTCCACCACTGATTGAGAAGGTGTTTTACGGCACTATCAACTCAATTTTGGTCATGTAAGTACCACTTTCACCTTTGAATAGGTCCATTCTTCTCATCATATTATCATTATTATCTAAGTGCACAAGCACCGACGTTTTTGTAATACCAGTATAAAGCCACAGACCCTGTCAACAATATTGATCGGCCTGTATATTCAAGTGATTGACAGTCTCAAACTTGTAGCCGAGAGTTAGTTTACATGTTTATTGTGATATAGATATTTTTCGTGGAGAACGTGATAGTTACATACAAATTGCAAATTTTTGTACACCCTCTATATGACAACCACTACTCACTGGAACTGAATGTGGTAGCGATACACTTATGTCATAATACTTGTTGTAAATGGCCTTTTGGGGGCGGGGTGAGGGTAGGGAGGAGGGCACTGGCATGTAGGTTGTCAGGGATAAATTCTTAGCTTGTTAGCTAACCGTGTAGTTTTGATTCTCTCGGGTATTTCATCAGGTCTCCTTCTTAACGTTTCCAGTAGCTGGAAGTTAGTCCTCGAGATCGATCCGACCTTTCTGCAATAAAACATTTTAGCTGTCTTACCTTCCTGAGTTGTTTGTGGTTCTAAGCCAGTCTCGATGTTCTGTTCCAATCTTCTGTTAGGTCTCCTCCGTTCTTTTTGCCTTCTACCTATGCCTCTAAAATATGTTTCTCGAATGAAATATGGCGTTTGAAATGCCCAAAGTATTTCAGGTTCATTTTCATAACGTTATGGGGGGGGGGGGGGGGGGGGGTTGTTGGCATTTTTATCCAATTTCTTCTTTATGCTCACTCATACTTTATTTCCAGTCTCCACGATATTCTTAGTGTACCTCTATATTTCATCTCGAAAACTGTAATCCTGTTTTATGTTGTTCATTGATGGTTCATCCTCCACATCCCTAAATTGCTTTGGGGAATATGCTTCTTCTTAGAATTGCTATTTTTGTAGCGACTGCAATTCTTCGTTTTACCTCTGGAGTTGTTTTTCAGTTTAACAAGTTTGGCCTCAATTCTGGCTCCGAGACCTTCAACTGCCTACCCTTTACATTTTTCCCCCTTATCAATTCTTATCATAGCCTGCTTGCATATTGTCTAGGTCCATGATTTTGGTCATCTTGACATGACTTGGTGTTCTTGACCATTTAGTGACCTTTGGGGTCACCGCGTTCTTTGACGGAACTAGGAGTGCAGTGTTATTAACAATTTGCATTTAAGTCTCTTAGACGTGTTGCTGTTTCGCTGTATTCACCCCTTCTTCTGCCATGTTCGAGTTCCTGCATTATTCCCCGGGTGCATGTCCTGAAGAGATGGGGGGTAGCACACATTATTGTCTTATGCCTTTTGAAACAGGAAACCATTCAGACGTTCCGCACTGAGGCTGTACAGCCTATTGTTGTCCTTCAGAGAATGATTTGTTCTGATTAATCGGTTTTGAATGAAATTAATTCTTTGCAGTTTGTCACATCATTTGGTCGAATGCTTTTGAATTTTATAATCGATAAAACATTTACGCCCCAATAGTTATGAATGATCATGTGTAGGCTGAATGTGTGATATCTTGTCCTTCTGAGCTCGCTAAACCTTGCCTGTGTCTTGCTTACATTTTTGGAGTTGATTTTAATTCTTTTCATAAGGGCGAAAACATAGAGAACGGCGATTTTGGAGACTGGCTCAGTAAGCGCCGATAGGCATAAAAATTCCCTTATGATTTCCAACTTGCCAAACATAGAGCTGGCAGACTGCAGGCGGCTTTAAGCTCGAATCGGCGTTGTCGGCTTTATCGGAATCCAGACTACATTCTTTTTACGCCGAAAAACTGGGAAGGGCGTCTCGCTGTCAACTCTCGACCTCAGTGCTTTCTTGTCCTATCTCCGGTTGAGCGGTTTGCGTGACGTCACCCGACTGGCCAGGGGACAAATTTAAATGGCCATCTCAGAGCTGGTGCTTCACGGTAGACAAAAACTAATTGCATTTTTTAAAAATTTGCGTCGTCAAATTAGGGTGGCAATAGAGCAGATTTACATTTTAAGGAATATTTTAGGAATTTCGAGTTTTTATCCCCGAATAAATGCTTCATAAATACTAGCTGTTCTGTGGTGTAATTTTTTTCTCATATCTAGATCTAGGCTTTAGGTGTCCTCTTTGTGGAGTCAAACAGACACCTACTGGCGCCTGTCCGTGTCGATCTTTAGCCGCTTAAGTTTCGGCGTTCTCTATGTTATCGCCCTTAAGTTTCGTAAGCGACTGAAGATCGACGCGGACAGGCGCCAGTAGGTGTCTGCTTGACTCCACATAGTGGGCGCCTAAAGCCTAGATCTAGATTAGAAAAAATGACAACACAACACAGCAGGTATTTGTGAAGCATTTAAAAAACTCGAAATTCCTAAAATATTGCTTAAAATGTAAATCTGCTCGATTGCCTCCCTAATTTGACGAACGCTGGTTTAAAAAATGTAATTAGTTTTTGTCTACCTTGAAGCACCAGCTGTCCAGTCGGGTGACGTCACGCAAACCGCTCTACCTGAGTTGGCGACGGCGAGACGGCATGAGTTCATGACCTCAGTGCTTTCTTGTCACATCTCCATTTTTAATAACAGTGAAAGCAGTTCACAATTAAGAGTAAGCTTAAGAAGAAGTCAAATTTTCACTGTAAAAAATGGAAATACAACAAGAAAGCACTGAGGTCGCGATTTGACAGCGAGACACCCTTCTCAGCTTTTCGGCGTAATAAGAATGTAGTTTGGATTCCGATAAAGCCGACTAGGCCGATCCGAGCTCAAAGCCGCCTGCAGTCTGCCAGCTCTATGTTTGGCAAGTTGGAAATCGTAAGTGAATTTTTATACCTATCGGCGCTAACTGAGCCAGTCTCCAAAATAGGCGTTCTCTATGTTTTCGCCTTAAGGAACGAACAAGACACATGCGTCAAACTAGCCGCAGACTAAAGGATTTTTTCGGCATATTGTGAGCCACCATACACAAATCATAAATACAATATGCAATGTATACATGTATTTCATTGTGTGCAAGTTATAGTCCGTCTTTTAAAGTCTCAGATAGAGAAAACAATGGGAAAATAAGTATTACACTTCTTTTTTTTTTTAAGCAGCAGGCCTTCAAGCGTAAAGGAATACTCAGAATGGGCGTCCTCAAAGAGTTAATCGATATTTTACTGATTTAACTGATCATTGATATTGTTCTGTTGTTAAAGCATACGTGTAAAACTCCTTTCTCTGGCAATGGTATAAAGATTGCTCTTTCTCAATCTGTTGTCTGTTGTTCGCTTTCCCATATCAACGTTCGGTAATTTCCATAGCCTAGGACCCTGGAGTCCTTGGAACCTGAAGCATTTATATTTTTGTGCCTTTACCAATGTGTTTCAGTAAAATCCAAACAGAAATGTGTTTTTTAATTGACATAAAAGGTGTTGAGCTGAGCAAAGAAGAAAATTGCATAAAACTTTACCCCCCCCCCCCCCCCAACGAAATGCCGATTTCTTTGATTTCATTATTTTGACGAGTGCCACTATGTCTCACTTTTTATCAGGTAATAATAACAATAACAAAAATATTAATAATAATAATAATAATAATAATAATAATAATAATAATAATAATAATAATAATAATAATAATAAAAATAATAATAATAATAATAATAATAATAATAATAATAATAATAATAATAATGGTAATGATGATGATGATGATGATGATGATGACGATGATGATGATGATGATGATGATGATGATGATGATGATGATGATGATGATGATGATGATGATGATAAAAGTATGGCCCATATGCAGTTTGCTCTACTAGCTTAAAAATTATTATTATTGCCCCCAGCAGACCCAAGAACATCAGCCAATCTCATCCTTTTGAGAGGTGGGAAATTCGTGTACAGTGCCTTTCCTAAGGACGCACCATAGGGCCGAGTTGAGCCTCGCGAATCCCTCAACCCACAATCTCACAAATCCGGTAGACCATCGACGTCTGCCGGACGTATCCCATACAGATTGAATTGCGATGACAAACAGGGAGGAATCAGTCCATCTTCTAATTTAGCTAAATAGTTCTCATGAAGACGCAAAACAGAGACTACCAAATGGCCAATATTTTATTTATAACGACAGCTGGGCGCTTTGGGGCTCTGAAACTTCGCAACCTTCAATGGCCCCTGTCCTGGTTTATCTGCTCTGTACACAGACTCACTGAAGTAAAAGGGGAACATATTAAATATTCACGCACGAAGCCATTTTGGGTGTCCCGGCGCCTGGCGTTTCTGCTCTCTCCGACGCAACGCGGGGGTCAACATAGGAGAAATTACCAGCAAATTGGCAACGTGAAGGAGTAAACAGAGGAACATGGCTCACAGATCACGCACGCCCAATCCTTCTGTCTGGAGGTCCGCACGTACAAATAACACACAGATAAATGCAAGAGCTTTGCAGATGTTGTGACTTTATTAAGTCCGCTCTACGTCTGCGCTGCTCTTTGGTGAATTGTACAGATGTTACCGACTTCTCACAAAAAAGAAAGCGTTTATCTTTCCTTAAACCGTGTTAACTCTTATTAAATGGAAGGCTATTCCACCTTTGTTCGCAGCCAATTTTATCATCCAATTTTTGGTAACTTTGTGTTGGTTATATTCCCTACAACGCCGCTTCTGTTTTATCATTTTAAATAAAACAAAGACCAAACCAAGTTTTAAAAAAACCCAACCAAACAAGCGTACAAAACGATTGATGCCATAGTGCACAGTTTAATTATAATTACTGATATGATGAATTTGCTGAGGTTTGATAGATTTTTGCTATGACTAAACAACCGAGCGATGTCGTACGTCAGCTGAACTGGTATGCCATGAGTTAATGTACTTTGCTCATGTTCATTTTGCCTAACATACAAACGCGTATATAGTAAATTCTGTTTCTGTAAGATGTAGTTGTTTTTGTAGTTCTTTCTAATTCAGTGACTTAACGAAAATTGCGTGTTCAGAAAAAAAAATCTTTCATTTAAATCTTAAAGCCACCCGAAGCAGGTTTGAGCAGGATTTGCTGAACTGGGCGATCACGAACAGCTATTCTCTTTTGTTTATTCTTGCATCCTGTGTTTCTCCATTCATCCTTTCCCTTAGGACAAACCACTCCGAATAAGAAAGCAAGTGGCACACAAGTAACAAATAAGGTCCTTGATGGCACAGGAACACTCCACGAAAATTAGGTCGAAATGGAAATAAGGAACACGCCAAAATACGATTGCCATAACATTATGGGGGCTTAGGCCTAGGGAAAATGGGGTCGTTGAAGCCAAAAAGTAACGCATGGCGATATTACAGGGCCCCTCCCACGACGCTAAGAAGTCAGAAACAGGGTGTAAGAACATATAATATAATAGGCTAGGTCCCACCCCGTCTACGTTCAAGAATGTTTGAGCTAGAAATGACACTACGTTGGCGTAGCGTTGCTATCACATAGTATTCCCCTTTGGTCTTGTTTAATCTTTTTCGTTTGGACGTTTATTTGTAGTTGTTTTTTTTCGTAAAATAATGCACGATTAACCTCTGAATCAAAGAGTTCTGGAAACTGGGAACAAACTGTTACTGTAACTGTGAAATTGAATAATTCATAATACGTTGAAGATAGGAATAACATGTGTGACCAAACACGGACACACACCCACCCACCCCGACCCCCACACAAACAAACAAACACACACACACAAACAAACAAACACACATACACACACATACACATACGCTAGGAATAAACCCATTATTGCTAAAAAATAAAGTGCTTTTGTTTCACTCCAGAGGCTTTCGTTTTTCTTACCATTCCCACGGGGTGGACAGTTTCGCTCTTTCCTCTCAATTTCCAGGTGACGCCATACTTTGCAGTTGTGCATGCAACGTGTGGGACTTTTCCTAGTATGCAGGAGGCCTCAGACAAATTTTAACAAGATCCTATAACTGCATTTAAATTCTGACTTTCTGAAATTAAATACCTGTTTTCACTTTGTTCCAGTTTGCGTGTTTTGGACGATGCTGAGTGAGCTCTTCCCCCATAGTGCCAGGAGTGCAGGCTTCGGTGTCGCCGTCACAGGTGCCTTCACAGGATACTTCGTTCACTGCTACGTCTTTCCTGAAATGTTGGTCAGTAGGAATAATATTATGTGCGTGCAGCGAGGGGTTTGGAGTGTCTGTGCCCGCTTGCTTGTGTGTGTGTGTGTGTGTGTGTGTGTGTGTGTGTGTGTGTGTGTGTGTG